CCTTCCCCCCCTGGCCGCTCCCCCCCCGCCCCTCAAAAAAGTAAAAAAAAAAAAAAACTGCCTAGATAACAGCTGCTATTTATGTGGCAAGAATTTACAAGGACTATCTTGTTTAATCCTCACAACTACCCCATGGTAAAATTAGCACCTCCATCTGCAGAGAAAGAAACAGGAGGCTCAGAGAGGGAAAATGGCTCACAGGAAGCCAAGCTTTCCTGGGAACCTGCAAGCCAGCGACTGTCCCGCTCCCACCTGCGCCAAACTCCACCTGCCCTCACTACTGACCTCCAGCCCACGGCTGACCTTCCTCCCTGCGCTCACTGCTGCCCCACACGGACCACCATCTCCTCCCCTTTCCTGGAAGCTTCAAAGCTGCCACATTGAGACCCCAGCCCAGGAACCAGCTCTATCCTGGCCCCCAAAAGACCAACACTGCCTGCAAACAATTAAGCACAACTTCCTGAAGCTCACCCGGGTCGATGGCTTTCCACACTCCAGTCCACTGCGTGCTCCCCTGAGCCCTGCAGCATGGGCACTGCCACCCCTTTAGAGGGAAACTGGGGTTCAGGAGTTAGGTAACAGCCAAGGTCACGGGGAGGGAAGGGCCAAGGCAGTTTCTGACCTGGGGCTCTGCCTTTCCAGGTCTGTCCCCTTCCCACTCTTACTCCACGGGCTGGATACCATGCGACGGCCAAGCCCACTATTCCCTTCCTCAGCACCGGTGCCCTCAGGCCCTCCAACCCAAACTGCCCACCTATGACAGGCATAGAGCCCGAAGACTTGGCGGCCTCCCAATGCCAAGAGCCTTAAATTACCCACCGTCGCTTTGACGCCGATCGGCCAAACTAGCATTTATGGCGGGCTCCCTGTGTGTCCAGTTTCCATGTTTTCCACTCTACATCAAAGCCACCAACTCCCACAGACTGGCCACAGTTCCTCCCCTTCCCGTGGGCCACCGCACCAGCCTCTATGGAACCCTGGCCTGCCTGGTCCCTCTTCCCAGGCTTCACCCCAGCAGGACTGACAGACCTCAGCACAGAAACAGGCTCAACACCATCCCTGTCCGGGGCGGGGGAGGGGGGGGCTTTCTGCTGCCCCAGCGGGATGTGCCCAGTGGAGCCCTCCTGCTCCCTTTCAGCGCCCACATGGCCAAACCTCGGGGGAGGCAGCAATCCACAGACTTGTCTCCCCCCAACACCCCAAACCACCAAACTTCTACATTCTCACCTCCTACTGACCGGCAAGTCCGATTCCCAGCTTAGTAACATCCCTCAACGCTTTCTCAAGGGGGAGGAACAGGACCCTTCTGTTGTCAGTTCCAGAAGGTCTTCCCAGACTCAAAGACAGACAAAGGGAGTTTTACCCTTGACTCCTTCTGGACACCAGGACTGATCAACTCCCCTACAGTCACAGTCCAGGTGTATTCCTCCCCCTTTCATCTAAGAAAGGGCGCACCATGACCAGCCCTGCCCGGCCCGCGGACCAGCAACTGAACCTCTTCCCATTCTCAGGTGCCCAAACACCTCCACCTGCTCTTCGGAGGCCAAGCTGGACCCTCTATTCCTCGAACTTTCCTGGAGAGAACTATGAGTTCAAAGGCTGCCACCTTCCCAATCTCACAAACCGCCAAACTTTCCTTCCTTGCCCCTCCATTTAAATCCTGAAACGATCACCCCTCAGCGTCCCTGGGAGTGGGGGGTGGACAGCACAAACCAGCCACCTGTCCCCCTCTCAACCCTACAGCCCTTTCTTAATAACCTCCGGCTCTAAACGGAAGACTAACTCCTCCGGCCGTCGTTAGGTGCAGCTGACTGCGCGCCACCTCCGTGCGGGGCCCCGCACCCGCCCCTGCGCGCGCCCGCCCCGCTCCGCCCCCGCCGTTGCTCACCGTGTCTCCAGGGGTCTTTGGGCTCCACGGCTCCGGACACAATATCCTCGTCAGACGGGAACGTGACGTGCTTGGCTGCAGCTTTGAGGCGCCCATCGGCTGGGGGCGACGCGGGGCTGGAAGACCCGGCCTCGGCAGGGGCCTCCTCGGCGTCGCCGAAAGGCTGGCGAGCCCGCCTCGTATCAAAAAAGACTAAAAATCGATGTATGTTAGTTACACGGAGAGTTGTCTCGAGGGTGACGTGAAGGGAGGAACCAACGGCAGAAAAGGCCACGGAAACAAGAGCCGTGAGCAGCGAATCTGCAGAGCCGGAACTGCAGAATATGGGGGGCGGGGCGAGACGGACGCCGTCTCCCGCAGCAG